TTGGTCGGGCTGCATGCCGCAGCGGTGATACACTAATTATGATTATGAGGCCGAGGGCCTAAATTTTTTATGCCACAAGGTAGCTTGTTGATATGAGGCTGGGAGCCTAGTGATGATGCTACGAAATGACTTGATATTGCGCTTGGGCCGTAAGGGGCCCCTCCAGGAGTCTGCACACCCCCAGTGAGCGCGGGTACCCATTGTGATGTGAGATATAGCCCGAGGGGATGGTATTGTTCTAAGATATTACCCGAGGGACGGATTTGTTGACATTGTGCCCGAGGGGCGAACCTTTATGTGTTTATCTTTCTTATTTGCCTGTCATTTACTTATTTAATTGTGTATTTGTGCCCGAGGGGCGAATTTTCTGTGCTTATCTGTTCTAATTGCTTTGCATTCAATTGCTTAACTGTTAAAAAGTCATTTTAAAGAAGTTTAAACTGAGCTAAGGTGCTTTAAGAGATTTCACAGCTTCATTGCTTTCTTACTGGTTTTGTACTACACTATACAGCACGTTGATGTATTTTTCATGATTTCCTATCACTCAGTCTTTAGTTATGATTATTACTCACTGAGTCGGAGTACTCACTTTACTCCCTGCACCTTGTGTGCAGATTCAGGTATTTCTGAACCCGGTAGCAGGTATTGGTTGATCAGAGGCAGAGTCATCGGAGTTTAGAAAGGTAGCTCCCGGCGTTCGCAGCACTGCTTTTCTCCCTCTTGATTTCATTAGACTGTATTTAGTACATTTCAGACTTTTCCGTTGTATTTAGACCCTAGTAGATGCTCGTGACTTGTGACACCCCGATGTCGGGCTGTATTTATTTCCGCACTTGCTTTATTTAGCTAAATCTATACTTGTTGGGGATTTATCCTTATAAATGACTTAAATTGACTTATTAAACTGTTAAAACTGAATTTGGGAATTGTGTCGGCTGGCCTTGTCTTCACGAGAGACGCTATCACGACCGGGTCCGGTTTGGGGTCGTGACAACATTCTACCTTTGTAGTATTTTTATTACCCCCCTAAACTATTTTAAAGTAGAATTATTTGCACCCTTAAAGCTGACGTGGCAGAGTGTGTGTATTTCACTCTCCTTGGGAGAGTGAGAAACAATAAAAACAATTTTCAAATTTTTCTTTTTGCTTTTATACCATTTTTTCTTACTTTTATTTCCTTTTCCTTTTTCTTTGTTTTTTTCTTTTGCTTTTTTTATCGTTTCTTCTCTAATTCCGGTGGATATTCATTCACCGGCGACTTTGTCTAACCATTTTTCTTCCATTTATTCTGTTTTTCTTTTTCCTCTTTCTATCTTTTTTACACACAAATTAAACTCTCAAAAAGATCTATTCATAAGCAAAGCAAAATACACTTAGATTTGGGGGAAAAAATTCATCATTCGAAAACCTTCCCACACCGGAAAAAATTGAGGTATTAAAATTTTAACTGGCAAAAGTCTTCTCAGCTTATATTCTTTTTCTTTCTTTTGCTCTTCCTTCCACACATAAATTACACTTTCAAGAAAAAATTATATAGATATATAAAGCAAAACACACTTAAATCGGGATAAAAATCTGTCGCCGGAAAAAAAAATCGCCGAAAAAAATGGTGTCCTTGAAATTCCAACGACCACCATTTTATGCCGCCGGTGACCAAAACAAAAAGAAAGATAATAAAATAACAAAAAATGAGAATAATAAGAAATAAGAAAAAATGATAAGAAAAAGAAGAAAGAATAAAAAAGTACTAAATATGCATGTGGCAGCGTATGTAGTTCGCCACTTGCCAAGAGTTTGGTTGTCTAGTTTTAGAGGGGTATTTATTCCATTTAGAAAAAGTTTAGAGGTTAATAAAATTCCCGCCAAGATAAATTATGTACTTGAAAATTCGGGTATACGTCGGGGGTATTTATGCATTTTACCTTAACATTTCTTAATTTGTGTAAAATTCCTACTATATACGGAGTTTAAGTTTTTGCTTTCTTAAAGTAGATATAACACCGTAAATTTGTATAGCATTTTTATTATATAGGGGTGTAATTTTGTAAATATTTGATTCTAACAGCTTGTTTGGCTGATTGTTACCTATTGTATTGTATCGTATTGTTACGTTAAATATGAACTATGTTTTAATTGTTACTTAAATTTTAATGTATCATATTGTTAAATCTGATCCATCGTTACGTAACGACGAAATGTACCACTTTATATAACGATCGCTTTGATGTGGTCGCGTCGTTACCTTATCTTTTTCTCTCATCTCATCCCTCATTATTATTAAATAATTTTATTTTATCATTTATCCTACCTTTTTATATAATAATTTTACCCCGTATTATAATTTTTCTTTATAATATTGCAAGTTTATTCTTGATATCGTGAAACAACGACAAATGATACAATCTATCAAAATATTGTATTCATCAAACGTTACAGTACAATACAATACAACATGATACAGTAGACTATGAAACGATATGTCCAAACAAGCTGTAAAATACAGCACTTTCTGTTTTTTGCCTGCTTCAATAGATTGATTTGCAGAATGCTCAATTGTCCTAACTTGAAGAAGTTTGTTCTTTATTGCAGAGATTGGAAACAAGGTAAAGAATTTGCAAAGCTGAGCAAGAGTATAAACAAAGGAAGCAGAGATGGGAACTTAAGGAGAAGATCAGAACTTATCCAACTTCTTGATGATTTTCACAAACAATACAAGTCCCTCTATGCTATGCATGAAAATCTCAGAGGGGAAATAAAGAAAAAACTTTGTGCCAAAAACGAGGATGATGCTGAATCTTCGTCTTCTTTAGTTTCATATTCAGAAGCGTATCATTCCCCATGGTAATTCGCTGGCGAAGGCAGCTCATACTTTTCCAATGCTGCAAATTTGGAAATTGCAAATTTGGATTTGCATTCTGTTACTACATATAAGGTGTTGAAGTACTTTTAGTGGTGTAAGATTTTTTGAGAAAAAATATGTGATTTTGGCTTAAAGCGAGCATTATCATAATATGTCAAGAGTATCTTTGGATTAAACTAGCACGACAGCTAATACCAAAGCCAATAGTTCAATGAGACGAGTACAAAGAAGATGGAGTTGATGGCCTGGGGCTTGGTTTGCTTCTTTTACCATACCAAAGATATCTTGAAGACGCACGCGCACAAGAAGCTAGCTTTGGGCTTTCGTAACCATAGATGCTCGGTCATGAGTGACGCATAGTAAATCTCGAAAATTATCTCGTAGAGCATGGTAATAGGTCACGTGAAAATTAGTTCAAGGGGGAGACCTATGGATCATGGTGATGGGTCACATATAACTTAATTCGAGGAGAAAATCACTAGGTATACGATTAAATTGCCATATTAGTAGTTGAAATGATTGAGAAGATACATATAAGGTGTATAGATGCTCTTATTAGTGTTAGGTCTTTTTGAGTAAACAATATAATACTGGCCCAAACTGGACAATATCACACTAAGTTAACAGTATTTTTAGGTTGAATTAGCCCTACAGATTCAGTACCTGATCCACCAATATGTTTTGTCCAAGAATGTCATCTCCAGATTGAAAAGTTGAAAGAGAAACTAACAAGCGCCAGATTGGTTGAGAAGGAAACATTAAAAGAGAATGAAGGCTTAAAAGTACAGGTAAAAGACTTGAAATTGGAATTAGACTCACTCTGCAGCCAAAAGAGTGGCTTGGAAAAGGAAATAAGGGATATAAACCGGGAAGCTTATCGTTCAAAGTTAGAAAAAGAGGAGTTAAGAGGGTGTTTGACTAAGATTATAAGCTGGTCACTTTTCAGCTTATCTACGCGTTTGCTAAAGTTAAAAGTGCTGCTTATAAGCCAAGTGTTTATAAGTCAAAACAAACCAAAAGTCATAAGCTGGTCATCCCCAGCTTATGAATTTTTAGTTTATAAGCATTTTAAGTTTGACCAAGATTTTTATTATTTTATTCTTAAAATATTTTTTTTTAGAACAAAACTCTTACATCGATACTCACTGCCTCAAGTATTGTTTCAACCTAACCCCCCCCCCCCCCCTCCGCCTCTTCAATTCTGCAATTCTCATTGGCTACTTAAGATAAGAAAATTCTCTATTCCTTTGCATATTTGTATCTATGTGATTGTGTATTAATCTTTGAAAAACATATAATAAATGAGGACATATCAAATTTTTGGTATACTGCTTTCTAAGTGTTGTGGTGAAGAAAACAGTGTTTGTTTCTCTTCAAATATTTTGTCTTATTTAGGTTTTTTTTTTATTAAGAAACTTTTGTCACTTTATTAATTATTATAGCTTATGATTATATGCTTATCATAAAATAAATTATATTTATCATAAAAGTTATCTTATCTAAGCACAATTGTATTTAAAATAAAATAATAAATAGAATATTTTGTATTTGGATCGATTTGAAGCCTAAAATTTTAAAGAAATTATGCACTTATAAGTGTAAACGGTTCTAAGGTTATTTGAGTCATTTTAATAGAAAAAGAGCTTATCATCATTTTTTATCAAATACTGCAGCAACTTAATATTAATTTCAGCACTTGTATCCAAACACGTAAGTGCTTATTTATTAAATCAATTTTAGCACTTAAAGTACTTTTCAACACTTAATACTTATCAGTACTTCAAACCAGCTAATCCAAACGGGCTCTAAGTTCCACGGATGGAAAAGAGGAAATGAAAGATGATCAGAGCCAGATTGAACCATCTGAGTTCTGAAGCAGTATATTTTATGTGCATCTTCATTTTTCCACCGTTGAAATTTATTAGGTCTTGCAGCTATGCCTTTGAGTATATTTATATTTATTTATTGGAAGCTGGGGTTGCATTTATAGAACTCGTCTAAAATTGAGTTCATAGACTTACTTTATTCCAACTTCTTAATCTTCTCCTAAAATCATAATTTTATATATATATATATATATATATAAAATATTTATGTATACAAATACATACCATTATAGGTGTTGGGAAAGACACGCTTTTCCATTCTAGATGATGACAACTAAGTTCATAAAGACTTCTCTTTGCATCTCTAAGGCCTAAGGGGATATCTAGGCTGTGGAACCAAGGAATATTTTCATTTTGTGATAATTCCTATCGACCGGTAACTCAAGCTATGGTTATTGCAGACCCGCCTCCGCAAAGGAGTAGCCGGTAAGCTATGTCAAGCTAGCAAGCAATTTTGATTACCCCAAATTGCTTTTGGCAAGCATTTTCAAATAAACATTGAAGCTTTTAACGAGTAAATTTTGGTTTCTTCCGTCGGATTCTGTAATATAGAGGTCCCAACTTTTTCATTTTGCAGTTTCCCTAAGTTAGGTGCTACGAAAAGGAAGACAATACTTTATTCTGTTGCTGGGACCATTGGCTTTAGCTTATTAACAATACTCAAGTCAAGACTATTGTTTTCTTGTTTTGCGAGACCTTGTTTATTACTCCACTAATGGATTGAAAGCAATCAATTTGGTCAACTTAAACTGATAGTAACTTCTAGATATGTGCAGCTCTGTTGTTAGATCTGAAAAGAGATAGTATAAACTTAATAAAGAAATGATTCTCATTTCCACAAAATCATGCTCCTTTGATCTACTCATGGTTACTTTCTTCTTGCTTCCTACACCAAGAATATCTTCTAGTATTCCATCTTCAGAAAAGGAATTGGGGTGATTTAAAGACTCAAGATTCTTGGTATTAAACTGTCAATGGCAAAAGATCAAGCTTCCTTTTTCAGTTTTCGATCTTGTTGCTACATTCTTGTTTTTTTCTCTGCCTTCTCATCCATTCCTCTCCTCTACTGGTCTTATTCCTTTGGCTATGGCTATTCCTATATCCAAATGACAGTGAACAATGAAAACAAACCAATTAATCTCCTTAGATTCTCAAAAGCTTGGAACCATCTTGTCTTTTCATCAAAACCACCTCAAAGGCTCCTTAAAATTGCTCTGTTTGTCAAGAAATGGCCAGATGAACAACACGCGGGAGGACTTGAACGACACGCCTTAACACTCCATCTCGCCTTAGCCAAACGGGGACACGAGCTTCATATCTTCACAGCTTCATCCTATAATTCAACCTTGCCTTTATATCCCCTAATGAGGAATCTCCGTTTTCACATCTCGAGGCCTACTGCTGGTGGATATCTTGACCAAGCCGTTGTTTGGAAGCAATTTCAAGTAGAAAATGCAACACAAAGGCCATTTGATGTGATTCATACAGAGAGTGTAGGCCTCAGGCATACAAGATCAAATAACCTTAATAATCTTGCGGTTAGCTGGCATGGAATTGCTTATGAAACTATACATTCTGATATCATTCAAGAACTTCTACGAAATACTAAAGATCCACGATCAAATGCTTTGACCGAAAGAGTGAAGAAGGTTGTCGATGAGGTAAAGTTTTTCCAAAGTTATGCTCACCACATTGCCACGAGCGATCATGCTGGAGATGTACTTAAAAGGATCTATATGATCCCTGAAGAACGCGTTCATGTCATTCTAAATGGTGTCAATGAGGAGATATTCAAGCCTGACGTTTCAAAAGGCAATGATTTTAGGTTAAACCTAAGTATCCCAAAATCAAAGTCCCTAATTTTGGGGTTAGCCGGGAGGTTGGTTAAAGATAAGGGACATCCTTTAATGTTTGAAGCCTTAAAACAAATTTTCAACGAAAACTCAACATTCAGGGATAGTGTCATTGTACTAGTTGCTGGAAATGGTCCGTGGGGTGCTCGATACAAAGACCTCGGATCAACTAATGTGATGGTTTTGGGACCATTGGAACAAGCTCAACTAGCAACATTCTACAATGCAATAGATGTATTTATAAACCCAACATTAAGAGCTCAAGGTTTGGATCATACTTTGCTGGAGGCAATCCTAACTGGTAAGCCTTTGATAGCGACGAAACTTGCCAGTATTACGGGGTCTATTATTGTTAGCAAAGAGATGGGGTATACATATGCACCTACAGTAGGGGAACTAAAGAAAGTTTTGTATGAGGTTTGGGACGATGGAAAGGAAATTCTGAAGCAGAAAGGCAGATTTGCTAGGGAGAGAGGTTTGAAGTTGTTTACTGCTACCAAAATGGCTGCAGCATATGAAAGGCTTTTTCTTTGCATCTCAGGTGATGTAAAGCAAGGCAAAAAGCATGACAATTATTGTAGTTACCAACCTCAGTTCAACTGACAGAGAGTCTTAGAACCAGGCGTAGTCAGGATTTCAACTTTATGGTTTCTGTATTTTAGAACGATGACTTCAAGTGTTAATAAATGAGTTCTAAATTTAATATCTGTACATATTTAATATTTAATGAAAATTTTAAAAATAGATAGAGTGTTTGAGCAAAAACTACTGGTTCGGTCGAATCCGTAACCGAGCTTCTAGCTCCGCCCCTGGTCCTAGATTCTGTTTTCAGAAATATGATGTGGTCTCAAAACAATACATGGTTGTTTGTCATGATCAAGTCAACAATTAAACATCAGCCAATATTCTGCCTTGTCACATTTGGAAGAAATTGCAGAACATGTAGAAGGGAAAAGCTGTCTTGACGGTGAGCTGTATAAACCAAGCAGGGGCGGATCTATGTACAGAGTTGGGGGTGGTACGCCACCCGAACGCTCGGGTAAAATTTTGTGCGTGTATATATGCATTTTGACATTTTACAAACAAGTTCCTATATATTTTAAGGACGGCACCTGGTATTATATGTGGGCTTTAGGTGCCAGTTAAAAACCAATAAATCTGGATCTTAGATGCAGGATCGAATCCCTGATGTTCCCCCTTTCCATCTCTTAATTTTTTGTATTTCTTCATCTTTTGATTTCTTTTCTTAGTACAACTATTTTATTATTTATTAAATAATATATTTGCTTCTTTTTTCTTTGACTTGATCTTCAATATTTTATTGAATGTGATTTTAATATTATCTCTTTTTATCTATATAATATACTTGCTAATTTAAAATTTTATTTTAATTCTGTGCATCTAATCACATCATTCAATAGAGTTAGAGAATTAAATCGAATTAGACAAAATTTATTCGGTTTGATGGTTATATATTTATTTATGCACCAAAAATCTGGTAAATTGAACCTAATTAATTCAAAATAGATCGAACTAAACCAAAGTGAACCGAGTAGTTCAAAATGGATCAAACCAATAAAATGTGCACCATAATTCAATCTCTTAGACTAATGGTAGGTTTGTATTAAAAAGTGGCATCAAATCCTCGATGCGTCTCTCAAACCAAGAATAGAGCTTTTCCTAATTGGATTCAGCAGCCTCTGACATTCCTATAGCTATAAAGTTCCTACAGTAAAGCTTGAAATATTGAATCCATTCAACCACCACTTACAGTGAGTTGTAATAGATTATACTCGTCCAGGAATTTACATGCTAATTAAATTAGACCGACTCTTGTACGGTTGAAAATTCATTTCGTTTTGCACATTTTTGTGATGATTATTGAGTCTTTCACATTGAAAACATTTTCTTTTTTATGTGAATGCATCAAATCGGAATGTGCATGGTGTTACAAATTATCCTATTTATTATATCAGAATAATTTATCTATGCTTTTTGTCACTAAATATATTTTCAAGAAGAGTCAACTAAGCGAGTGTCTCTTAAACAAGACTTCAAGAGACATCCATGAGAGGAGCCTGCATTAAACAGCATTTTTTTAAAAATAAAAAAATCCACCACACTATCACGGGCGGCTCAACGAAGTTGGTGGCCTAAAGCTAAACTGTATTAAGAGGCCTCTAAATTTATTCCACAAAATTCATACAATAGTGAGACGCAAAAGAACTTCCATTCTACTCAATGCATCAATCAAACATGAGGAAGTAGCTAAATCGAAGAAACTGAGTTGAAACTGGGAAGTGAAATCTCAAAAACATATGAAAGAAATGAGGAAAAATTAGAAATGAAGAGGGACATAAATATACTTTAACTATCGAGACAAAAATTTACCACTGTTTGCTTACTCATCTGTACATTTTTAACCAAATAAAAAAAAATTGAATTTTAGACTCTTAAAAATAATTGCCTAATATATACTCCCTCGGGTCCCAAATAAATGATTTTTTGGTTGTTTTTACACATATTAAGAAACTCACTTTTTAACATTTAGCAATGAAATTCACCATATTAACCTTTATTATCTCTTCACATAAACACTCCTAACACATACTTCAACATTATTTACTCTAAGGGCAATGTAGGAAAAAAATAATTAATTCATTCTTGATATCTGAAAAATCACTTATTTTGGACCACAAAAAAGAAGCTAAAAAATCATTTATTGTGGACCGAAGGGAGTAATAATATAATATAATATTTTTAGGGCCCTCTAAAATTTGGGGCATAAGGCAATGGCTTGAGCAGCCTTACCCTCCCGCCGCCCTTGCACAGTGCCGTGTGTATTAGGCCGTATCTCTACCTGTATATATCACAAAAGAAAAGTACACGGAGAAGCACATAAATCTTAGCCTCCAATACGCAATGATGGAAGGTAAAATTCAATCCATAATAGTCAATCCCTATCAATGATGTCCTCCTTTACAGTTTGAGCTTTATGAATTCTTCAAAAAAGTAGCTATGATCTGTACAATCATTAAGTTATAATCATGCATGATCAAAAGTAAATTTCTGCTTTTGAGCTTTAATACGAAAGTTAGCTAATGCTTTGATGTCATTCTTAAACAGCATAGATAGGCGAGATAAGTGTGCATGTGGGACCATGTGACGGCCATTAATATTAAGGTTACAGTAGTTGACCAGTTGAGAATCCCAAGTCTCAAATCCATTTTCTTCTTAATTTCTTTTAGAGTAAATTACAATTTAATATGAATCAATTGCCGATACAACTATATTTCAATATCGTACACTTCATCTCCTAATTCAATAGAAGTCCTACAGAAATATTAGTTTGAATAATTGTTTAATTTTGAAAATATGAGATATATCTGTAACTTTCGGCCCCGTTTCTCCATAACTTTTTTTTTTTCCTTTTTTTTTTAATTTTTTTTTTCAAAAATGTATTTGTCATATAAGTTTATAAAAATTTTCGAAAATGAGTTTATAAAAAATCAAAAGTACTAAATTTTCAAAATTAAGAAAAATCAAAATTTTCCGAATTTTTTTCCCCACTCATGAAACTGCAATATTTTTTCAAGTAAAATGCATATCCAAACATAATTTCAAATTCCATATATCATTTTTCCAAATACTATTTTTTTCAAAAATTATACGTAGTTTTTATGTCCAAACGCCTACTAAATATATCAATAGCTAAAAGACAAATAAAAATTGCAAATAGAAAGCCCCAAGGTACTTACTCTCATGAAATTTAACAAAGAGAAATAAATATTTTTGTTGAATTTTTAATTCACCTTTGATTAAAAAATATTATTTTAAAATATGTATATTTCAAAAACTTAAATAGGAAATAATCACAAATTACTTCCTCCATTTCAATTTAGATGAGATAGCTTGACTCGGCGAAGTTTAAAAAAAAAGATTTTTGAAATTTGTGATATTAAAAACTTAAGGGATAAAAGTTTTGTGAGGCCATGACATTTGTGTGGTTATAAAAGCTTTTGTTGGCCCAAGAAAAAGGATAGTTTTGAAGAATGACAAAGGAACTGAGAAATGAAGCTAGTCCATCACTGGTTGGCATAGACACAGGCAGACTCAAGGCATGTGAGATGCACATGTAGGGGATAAACATATTCTGGCAGAATAGATATTCCCTGACCGAAAAGATTGCATAAATGATAAGGAGAATGACTCCTTACTCAAAGAGAACATTATCCAAGATAAGGAAGGATTTAGTAGTTGAGATTAATTAGAACTCTTCCACCAAGGAGGAGTAGCATTAGAACTCTAATTATTTCTTCATCTACTAACTCTATATATGGCAGAATGTTCTCATTTTATAGGTACGCACATAAGAAGAAGTTAAACGTGAATTGAGAGCAAAATAGCAAGGCAATTTTGCAAGCAATTTGTGTACGATTCAAGTGTGCAAACCTGAAGCTACATGAACCAGATAGAAGAACCAGTTCCAAGTGTCTGTCTTTTATTCTAGTTCAATTGTAGTAGGTGTTTCATATTGTATCTTTCAGCTTTATCTAGAGGCAATTGTAATAAGTACTTAGAGTTTTCAAATTAGAGTTAACTTGAAGTTGTCGCAGCAGTTAGAGGCTGCTTGCCATAACGGGATTAGAGTTAGTTCTAGGTTTAAAAAAATATTTTTGTAAATGCACTTTTTGGTTCAGTGATTTAGTGAAGAGTTTGGAAAAATCCTACTGGGAAGTAGGTCGTGGTTTTTTCACCTTTTGAGTCAGGTGTTTTTCATGTAAAATACTTGTGTTCTTTACTTTTCGCATTTACTATTTCTGCAATAGTAGGTTAAGGAACACTTAAAAGAACCAGATCCTTCCATAATCAGTTTAAGCAAAAAATTGGTCACCACACAAATCACCCCTCCCCTCATGTGGTATTGAAGTGTAAAAAATCAATTGGTATTAGAGCGGGTTATCCTTGAAGAGGCTAATACCTTAAGAAAAGATCAAGATGAGTGCACCACCTGAAAACTGGTAAGGGAAATCCACTGCTAGGCCTCCATTCTTTAATGACCAATACTACTCGTGGTGGAAAAACAGGATGAGAGATCACATCATCAGAGAAGACTATGAGCTATGGGACATTGTCACTGATGGTCCCCTGGCTACCATGAAGAAGACTGCTGAAGGATCAGAAGTGCTAAAAACAAGAGCTGACTGCACTGCTGAGGACTTAAGGAAATGGGAAAAGAATGCTAAGGCCAAGAAATGGCTTGTGTGTGAACTTGGTCCAGATGAGTACAATAGAATTCAAAGTTGTACCACTGCTAAGGAAATCTGGGACACTCTGCAAGTGGCTCAAGAAGGAATTCCTCAAGTAAAGAGGTCAAGAGGAACATTGTTGTATTCTCAATAGGAGAATTTTACCATGAAGGAAGGCGAAACCATCCAGGAGATGTATACAAGATTCACCACTCTAATAAATAAACTTAAGTCTCTTGGAAGGGTAATTCTTGAAGAGGACAAAGTTGAGAAAATTTTGACAAGGGTTCTGCCAGTCACATGGGAAAGCAAAATCACTGCCATTCACGAATCAAAGAACATTGCCACTCTTAAGTTGGACGAGCTAATTGGAAATCTTACTGCCTGTGAACTTAGAATGCAAACTATGAAGATGGATGCACCCAAGAAGGAAAGGAGCTTGGCGCTCAAAATC